AAAAGTGCCATAAACAGACCTTTTGGAAGATGCAAAATATGTTGCAAGTTTGTATAATATTTGAAGGTGTACAGTGTAATTGGAGCAATCAGTTATTAGATTAGAAACATCTGGTATCTCAAACGATGCCGAGAAAATTTTTGACTTAGAGATATCATTAGGCTCATAGAACACCACTCTTGATCGTTGGAAGAATTTCGCACTCACCATCCAAGACCACTGTGTTCGATAAGAGAACGATTTGCAAAATCGAAGCTATTTTGATAGTTTAAGATAAACGCATCATTACTAACATGATATTTTTTTCTGACCTTCTACGGAATATCTCTAAAACAAATTTACAACATTTCTAACTCACCCTGATGCTCAATTACCGCACAGGAGCTCACACAAACGTCGGTGTCATGATTGCATGCTTGCATGATTTCTCTTTTTATACAGCAGTAATGATGCTCCAGATATTCATGTGAAGAAACGAGGGTATCATAAAGGATAAAAGGATAAAGCTCTCGGCGTTGATCAATCCCTGAGGGATGCGCCATGCATTCGACTTCAATTTTTAACTTCGTTTGAGGTGATTGAATGCACATCTGGCCTTTACAATGACTCGCGGTGGCCTCCCGCTGAACCGAGTCAGTGCTGCTTATCCTCCCAGACAAGTCTGAGACCTGTCTGGTACCAATTTACCGACCCCGGAGGGATAGATGGCTTGGTGAGCCATGAGCGCGAGGTCGGACCAGTGACCTCTTGTGCGACGCAGGGCACCTCTAACCACTGCGCCACATGCGCTCTTGAGGGTATCATAGCAGCAAGAATATGGTTCGGAATGCACACTTTGCTGATTTGCCACAAAAGGTGGCGGTTGCCTGTTGGAAAGATCTGAGAAAACCAGAACCCAAGTAGTTGTATTGTGCACAAAGCGTTTTCTTGGTTTCAAAATTCAACGATAGTCTGTTGATGATCAAAAGACTCAGGGGATAGTGAACAAAAAAAGATGATAGATAGGATATTATATTATGTTCTATATATGCATGCTACTTTTACGATTAGGCTATTCCATGATTTCCTGCGATTTTCAACACTTTTGTCAATTCAATTGATAATTCATCAAAGAAACAATTAACAATACGGTCATCATAATGGCCAATGATATGTATGGATCAAATGGGAAAAAACTATATGTCTCGTCCCGCAATGGATGAGGCTGACAATCAGAAAAGTCGGTGAGGTCACATTTAGGCTGTTTGTAAGGCAATGAACTGATGGAGCAATATTATAGTTGTACGGTGGATGTGGCACCATGGTCCAATTCTCTCTAAAATGTGGCGAGTCGACTTGCAATCAAGGTGGTCGGTCAAAGCATGAGCTGTTCACAGCATTACTCTGCTGTACCCGCTGTTCAGATAACGGCCAATAGTGCTGCGGTCGTTCCGAATGTCTGCTCAAGCTACTAAAACATTCTCCAACATTTCGTAGCTTTTCGGCGAAATGTCATATTGAAATAGAAACGAAATTATGGCGCAACCTAATGTGTGTTATTGCGATCGATCAGGTAAACACATTGTTTGCCGGCATTTAGCAGAGTATTAAACTTATGCTGTGTTTAGATTGCTTTTTTTTGTATTTGTATATTAGACACCGACTATTTCTATGTTGTTATTTTCGTATCACAGCACTTTACGCGTTTGCTCAATTCCTCTTTCAGGACAGTCATGAGAATTTTCAAACATCTTGCGTAAGTACTGGGTATTGACAAGGATTATTGTTTAGTTTGTGAATGTTGTTAGAAACTTGTCAAATCGCTCCTCTTTGAAGCCCTTGAAAAACCGAGTTATGGTGTTTCCAAGTGAATGTTGACGTGAAATGTTCGGTACAATTACAGCGATGATCCCATCACCATCAGTCCGTCACGCTCTCCAAGAAATTTTGTTTACCGATTATAGTTGAATTGTAGAGCCAGTTACCAGCTGATGAGCAATCCAAAGAACCTATGTGCATCGCAATAAACTATCACAAAGAAAACTGGTTGCATCCCTCTTCGGCTTATATCAATTATCTAGCGAGTCAGCTCAATGTGAACGACCAGTTAGGTGGAATGCGCATTGTCGTTAACGTATTCATCAAAAACCATGCAAGTAACTGCTCAGTACCATAGGCAGATTTTTATGCAAGCCTATGGTAATTGACTCTATTTAAATCTTTGTCAAAGTAAGACTGGAACTGGTTCTAGCTCATTCTTCCACCAAAAGAAGGAATCAAAAGAATTCAGGTAGAAAAAACCAAAAACGTGGGATGTGAAACTTCTCCTTTACGTTGAGCAACTGAAGTTCTAGTCACTAAAGTTCCAATAGTCTTCATGCCATCTTACATCCAAAATTTCCAAAAGCACTTTCAAAACTGCACTTATTTCTCCCATTGCTTGGCAAAGTCGATAGGACGAATATATGTCAGCTTATCGGTACCCTAAGTCCTAGTATTATGATATTCTAATGTAAGGAGCTTGAATTGAAATCTCATGGAAGATGTTCCAGTTCTTATAAGAGTTTAAATGTCAGAGTAATCACTATAGTACTGAAGCATTTTGGTGTACAACTGAGTACTCTATTGCAAAACAAACAGACTTCATGACGAGGAAATGAATTTTTTTCAGTAGCAGAATTATTTTCAAAAAGAATCGTTTTTGGGTCCGCAATACTTATTAGTACAATACTCAATCTGATTATTTTGAAAATTTTCATTGTTTGACTATTACTGGAAGGATAGTGATGCGAGAAGGCTGAAGCGTTGTTTCACACAGCACGCCGTTTTTCAAGGCTTATTTATAGGAGGTTGAGAACCTTCTTGTTTTTGTGATAAAATTTTTAATGGTCACAGCAGGTCTATATTGAAAATGCGCGAAAATAAGAAGCGTGCCAAAGATGGAAATTGGTGAGTACGTGTGATTCCACGCCCTTGGCATCAAGTTGAATCCATAACTGAACTTGAAACCAAATCTTTAACGATTGACGAGCTCCCTTCTCCATTTCGAAGCTAAACACGCTACCTCGTCGGTGGAGGAAAACCACCAACTATTGATGAGGCTTACGCAGATAACAAATGTTATCTTTGGGACTAACTCCTGAGGCAGCATTTTACCTCCTCCGAAAGCTGTAGCTCTTTGATAGACAAAAATCTCAATGGAGACTCCGACGTCTTTGTATTACGAAAAAATGTTCTGTTTGAACATTACATTTTTGTGGAGATAAGAAAGAGACTTCTTATCAGAATTGTGATAAATTTGTTATGTTACTCAAGTTGGTAGGAATATATGAAATCGTGAGTACTGAAGCGAATTTTGGTCACCAAATGAGGAGGACATAACGAAGACTACTGTCCAAGTTAACGGATGCGCATACCGCACAATGACAACTATCGCTGGCACGTATCGTTCAACTACACTCTTAAATTTCGTTTTTTTTTTTGGTGCTCAATTATGGCGAGATGGGCATTATAAGCATTTTTCGCTGGAGATGTTAAAAAGAGAACAGATTATGAATAGTGACACCATTTCACTGACTAAAAATTTCTAAGTAGATCGCATGGACAGACAAATAAACCTTGCGACCTCCAAGCACCAGTGCGTACACTTCAATCCACGGCATCTCTGATCCTATGACGAACCCACTTTTTCCCTTTACAGGGTATTTCTTTAGCGCATGGTAGACCGCCTCTACAACATATACATATAACCATATATATATGTATGTATATATATACATTTGTAAATACATAGGAGCAAGAAAAATTTTGTCATTTTGTATTTTGTTATTTTTTGCAGTGATATAAAATTCCATTGTTAATTGACAGATTTATTGATTTCTATGTTCAATCTCTGCCTAGAATCTGTTTTATCCATCTGCCTATTTTCACTTGTGCTGAACTTATGGATCGTCTAAATGAGCGCATCGCGGTAGTTGGTGCACAATACAGGAATGAACACTTCCGACATTGTTGAAAACGACTGGTATCGAGCTTTCAGATATCTAGAAAACCATGAAGCGTCTCAAAAAGAATGAAGAGATTAAGGACCGTTTTCGAGACGATGTGCAATCAGACTATACCAGAATCGAACAATTCAATTATTTCTGGTTGATATCTCTGCAGAATAAAGTTGCCGCAAAAGGCGTTTTTCCGCCACAAAAGTCATCATTTCCAAAAGTTTATAAAAACAGTCTAAAGAATGATCTAGGTTTTTTTCGGTTATAAGGGCACAAGTGAATATCCGACCGCATTTGCTGGGGAAAAACTTCTCATAGGAGTGCTCGTTATCTTCCAAAGATTAGATTTTTGGCTACAGCTCTGCGTAGACAATTTCCGAAAAGCCGGTTATAACACTGTAAGATTCAAGCAGTACTATGTCTCAGACGCACATATAACCCGCCGGAAGGAGCTCTTTTTGTTTCTTACCCAGCGGCCCATGAATTGGCCAAAGATCACCTTGCTCTCGTGTATGAATCAATCTTTTTTCATCTGTTGAGCTGTTGAAAAACGGTCTTTTCAAGATATAAGCACAGCATTGAAATCAGCAAGCATTGCGCAATCGATTTATAACTACCAGTCTGAAAAAAGAGCTCTGTCCGGCGAGAGATATGTGCGTCTGGAACCAGGGATCCCCTTTTGGAACAGCGTCGAAAAAAGGCTTTTTCAAAAATCAACCACGTGGGGCTGTAGCCACAAATCTAAGCTTTCGAATGATTACTAACACGTCTATGAAAGGTTTGTGTCCAGTGAGCGAGGTCGGATAATCATTTGCCCCCTTATAATCGAAAAGAACCATATTTTGTGTATGGGAAACATGAAAATAAATAGCTGTTTCAATACACTTTTAAGTAAAGAAGAGATGCAGAATTTCCTAGCTCATTCAGAGGCCTAAAGAGAGTCGGAGTTTTGAGTGATAACAAAAAAAATTTTCATATTTTTGCTATTATTACCTAACAGAGTTGAGTGGTGAGCAAAAATACGACCTCAGACTAGAGTCGAACCCGCGTTTCATCCATACCGAGAACGCGTGCTAGCACTACACCACCGAGGTACATTCGCACTATAGCAAACCTCCCAATGGAGCAGTTACCTGAGAATTTAGGCAACGCAGATAGTCCATGACTTCAGAGAGCAAATGCAATCGGAGAGCTTTGAGGAACTTAGGCAGAAAATGGTCCAAGTGGCGAGGGCGGCACCCGATCCATTATTGCTCTCTTCACACAGTCTCGTTGTCGTGTATCTATTTGCTATCATAAGGTTGCGTTTCTACAACTGTCCGATGAACTCAATAGAATTGTGAGCGGAAACGTAGTAGCGGAGCAAATTCACCTAAGCTATGCTCGGCCTACCACCGCCGTTAAGGGATTCTGCCCATATATAATCAGTAGTGACCCCACTGCTATCACAATATACTCACCCATTGGATGCCGCTGCCTGTGCTTATATTCCAGGGCGAACATAGCAACGACAGACGGGCTCAGCCGCCTAGTTATGGTCCGTCAATAACAACATTCATGGTATCGTCACACGACAATAGATCGCATTAAGTCATACATAACCATTTATCGTAATCATGTACATACTGTTATTATATTATTATTATAGTAATGTATGTATGTTATAGGTTGTTTGGTGCTACCAAGCAGTTTGGCACCACGCCAAGCTTGGTTCCATCCGACTGTTTGATATAACCCATGTCAAGGATTTGCACTTTGTGCTCTCGTCCGTCAGAAGACACAAGTTGGCAGAAGACCAATCGATCACGGAATAAAGTTCACCCCACGGACCCGGAAGTGCAACGAGCCACTTCAAGGGCCAAAAGCCGCAGCAACCCGGAAGTTCGACGCGTGACAGCACAAAGGTCAGTGCTCCGCCAAGGACAGTCCAACCACATTCAGATATCAATCGGATCACTGCCCGAGACAAATCCGCGGACCCACACCATAATAAACCACTGAACCTTCACAATACAGTACGAATCCACTGAAGTTCTACACATAATTTAGTGCATCGGCTACAAACCTTTTGTTACACGCATCACCACTGATTCTTCAACATCTCTATGTTGGCTGTCAGGCACTTGCTCGGGTATGCGATTTTGCTTTACAAAGGCAGTTGAACTGACAGCCACTGCGATAACTAATAATTCAGATTTCTAGCGTTTTTACTGCTTTGTCGCAGTTTTATGATATTTCATACATGCTGAACAGAAACCGTTAACAACCTGTTAGAGGTTGATGGCTGATAGCTAGCATAGGGATGTTGAAGAATGAGTGGCGGTGCGAATGTGTCATTGTGGTGTAGTGGTAGCACGCGTCCCTCGCATGGATGGAACGCAGGTTCGACTCCCGCCTGAGGTTGTATTTTCGCTCGCCACTCAGTTCTCTTAGGTATATTTGAAGCATCATAAAACTGCGAAGAAGCAATAAAAAAATATTATTATATCTAAAAAACGGAGGATTCATCTTAGGGTGCTTTCCTTTACCAATCATCTTGCCAAAGAAATATAGAGAGCAGTACTATAAATTGAACAGTGAGTGAGTCGATACGGCAAGAACCATAGGTTCAAAATCATATATTATTTTTCAATTGAAAATTCGATCACCAACATGTCTCGTCACATACTTACTTTTGAAAACACATAAGTAGGTATTCACTGATGATCTAACGTCTAAGATCCATGTTTTCAAGTCTAATAAGAGCAAAGTTACTAAAACATATTCCAGCCCATCCGACGAACACTCAAATGTTTTGGATCGCTTACGTAATGCGCATCCCAACAACGCGTAGGTGATGGAGTCAATCGACGTAACCGTCCTCTAAACCAACGTGTCGAGTGCCCGTGCATACATGTCATCATCAAGCTTCTTATACAACACCAGTAATTGGTTAACATATATGGCTTACCGATTCAGCTCATGGTTCTTTTAAAACAGTATCTAAATTGCTCAGTCTTCAGATGGCCCGGAAAATAGTTCGCGCAAATAAGATGATCGGTAATGGGGTAGTGCATGGCAGCCAGCCTAGCTACTGCCTTTATGTCGAAAGTGCAGCCCCAGTGACTGATATCTGGTCATTACTCTACCGTAGGTATATAAGTGACTGCATGTTTGTCCGTCCTCCCAAGAAGATTTGTACAGATGTTTTAGATTGCTGAACGAATAGTCAGAGTATTTGAAATTCACCAATGAGATAACGAAAGATAAATGTCTTTTTTTCCGAACGTGCAATTAAACGTATCCGATTATCGCTACATTACGAAGTGGTACAAAAAGGCAAATGATAAGAATATTCTGGTTCACTACCTCTCTTCTCATCCCTCAAATACAAAAAAAACGCTACCAAAAACATGTTTCGAACAGCCGCCAATGTGTGTACTAGCAGGAGCAGAGAGTAGAATTCGTGAAATTCGTTCGAGAATCAACCATTTCCAATGTCTACGATTTTGTAGCTCATCAGTTTAGGTTTAGCAAAAACAACAAACCTTCAAAAGAAAATTTGAATAAATGCGGAGTCTCGCTCATCCACGCTTTTATTCAAGGGAGATATGTACATGTGGAAAACGCCATTTGAAAAAAGGCAGGCTTGGAGAATGTGGTTACGGTTATCGAAGTACCATCAAATACTCTGAGACGTCATCTAGTCAATCGCTTATTTGAACGTCTTTGTGTAACGAAACAATGCCAAATATGCTCTAACGGCAGAGATGGGGATTGCATAAGCATAGGAACAAATTACCTAATCTCCTGCAAAGCATGAAACCAAAAATATATTGGCAATATGGGTGTGCCGCTTTAAGTCTGCTTAGAAGAACACCTAGCTTACATAAACAACTCTAAATCAAACACCTTGCTGAGCACACAGAGGACAAAAAAGCATAACTCATTGAATCTGACATAGAGTTCGAAATATTTTAGAAGCTCCTGGAATAAATACTAATCCAACTATGAAGCGCAGGAATGCCTCATGATTAGTCGTGATATAAATCAGTACATAAGATAGCTGTTTTGATGAGTGAGGTACATTGCGACATGTGATCTCTGCCCGCTGGTCTCCACTTGAAACTCGGCAGAAACCTTATAAAGAGCAGTGAGTATGTTGAAAGTTGATTTTGTGCTTGAATTAAAATCTGGGTCTGGTGATTTTTTTTTCTATAAGCTAAAAGAGTGCTGGAGGTGGTTGACTGGCTGAATTTTCGACAACGTGATATTTACAGGCTCTGGTAAAGGCCAGACTGCAGCAACGTCAGCCGTTTGAATAAATATTGATATAAAACCTCGTGTCTGGTTAAAAAAAAAATAAGGAATTAGTCAAGCATGAGAGGTTGATAAATAGTCGTTTTTGATTTCTATCAAAATTAGTGAAAAAAATGGGTACCTGTCCGTTATCTTCATTCCGATTGAGGCCTTGAGAAAGACGTATTTTTTGTTTTTGTAAGACGTTTTGGTAATCATCAGATAGCACAGATCAAGTGAATTTGAACGGTGTAATTTGTTTGGTTTGTTCATGACGCAGTAGCAGTCGAAACAATGTTTTGTTGCACATTCGCATTTCTCGTCGGATAGAAATTTTTTCATAATCAAATTTTGATCACTAGATAGAGCACATCTCAAAAACGTTAACGGCATACTTGATTTTTAGAAAGAACTTCTTGGAGTGCTGTAACACTCAAATGAATGTTAGGTCTCGCACGCGGTGAGCACCTCTTGCTGGCAAGCGTGTGTAACAGCTGTAATATCAATCCGCGGCAGGAATCAGATCTGGATCTTTCGATGAGTATCAGGAATGTCTCTGACACTTCGAACTTTTCTTTGTACGTTTGCAGGCTTTCTTTTAGAAAAAGAATTCGTTGAAAATAATTTGTTAAGCTTCGAAATTGACAAACTTACAATACATTAGAAATCACTTTTCAGGAGCCCAGAGAACTTTGATGAACCCAAGAGTGATTTGAAAAAATAGTCATCCCAGTCCACGACTATATTGTGGTTCATGGCGAGATCTTGCAGCATTTAATCAAGGTTGACTCTTTAGTCCAACTGTGAAAGAAATGAAGAGCGATAAAGGACGGAAGACGAGTGTTCTCACACCAATTTCAGACTCTGATATTGATCCTATCGCGATACCTACGATTATAACATGGTCATACAATTTGTGAACAGAACTGAAGCTTCATCCAATGCCCTTTTTTGCGTAGACGTCTAGACTGCGATACGCCGTGTTTTTGTGGCACTACGACGACTTCATGTTCGGTGTTGACTAAGTAAAAATGCTCATGGCTGGGTGAACTCGATGAAAGCGAAGACATCCGAAGGGCAGTCGACGTGCAATGACTTACTTAATGAGGCGGCACATGTTGAGATGGCTCATTGCCTTGGTACCAATGTTGCGAAATCCCATCTGCATACCCACAATGCGTAGTAGCTTGGTGCCACTGTTGCACTGTACAACACCCTATATTTTTTGGCTGCTACAACTCATTAGAAAGTCTCTCGAAAATCAAAGTAGATCACTGGAATAGGCACAGTTCAGACTATCGAAGAGTTACTAATAGTTCAAGGCAAATGCTCTTTCTAGCGAAAGATGCGCTGAACGCCGCCGTGAAGCATAATTTCAATTTGGTTATTACAGCGCACTAAAAGGTTTTCTTCAGAACACAAGTATATCGCTAAAATCGTCTAGATCTGAGCTATCAACTATGTTACAGAGCAACTTGAAACAATCAAGATAACGCCTTGTTTTCAAACTGGTGCAGATAACAGTAATAATTGAATGTGTAAAACCAATCTACCAACTATGTCGTTAAAGTCGGTAAGATTTGCTTGGTTGAATCATGAAGAAACTTCTATACGGCGAGAATTGTATGGAAACAAAATTTTAGCTCGTGAATATTCTTGCTGAATTTTCTTGAATTCTTGATAGCACTGTGTAAACGCGTTTTGAAGCTGACACGGTTTATTGTCCTCAGGTGAAGTTATAATTCTGTTTTTTGGCCGTATTACGCTTAATAATCAAAACTGTTGCAATATGCTGCAGTAGGTCTACTGATTACTG